TTGATAGTAATGAATGTACTCCGGTTCCATCTCCTAACTCTATTCAAGATTTTGATTGGCCAATTGGAAAGCTCCAGGCCCGGATGGACTGCATAATTTTTGGATAACATGGTTTATCAGTTCGCATAATTGCTTGGCATCTCAATTCCAGTCAGCTTTGGAGTCTGGATCTTTGTCCCAATTCTTTACCACAGGCTTAACCCACCTGCTCCATAAATCTGGAAGTACCACGGAACCCAAAAACTATCGGCCGATTACGTGCCTACCCACAATTTACAAACTTCTTACATCCATTTTGAGACCAAAGCTTAATAAACATATTGAAGACAATAATATGTCATTGTCATGTCTGCCTTTCAAAATGGATGTAGGAATGGATGCCGTGGTACTAAGGAGCTGCCTATGACTCCGTGCCACATACATGGCTCATGAGGGTGCTAGAGCTGTACAAAGTTGATACAGCTCTACGTACCTTCCTGATGGCATATATGACACAATGGAGAACGGTTCTTCGCTATCCAGGATGTGGACAGATCTGTGGGAACGATGAACCCATTAGGATTGAGCGGGGTATATTTCAGGGTGATATTTTGAGTCCATTATGGTTTTCCTTAGCCCTGAATCCTCTAAGTACTCTGTTGGAGGGCTCGGGGTTAAGATATAGGTTGAGAAGAGGGGGACAAATTATATCCCACCTACTTTACATGGATGACTTAAAGCTATTTGCTCCAAACAACTTGCATCTAATGAGATAATCTAATGAATAATTACTGAATGTCACTGAAACGTTCAGTAATACCATTAGGATGGAATTTGGTGTGGACAAATGTGCAGTTCTACATGTAAAGAGGGGGGAAATTGTGGAATCAGATGGTACACAGAATTCTGATTCTACAAGCTTCAGACCCCTTTCCTCAACCGAAACCTATAAGTACTTGGGTATGTCAGAAGCGTTAGGCATCGATGTGACTGTCATGAAGCAATCGTTACGGGAGCGTTTCTTTGACCGCCTGAAAAAAGTTCTTAAACTGTCAAACACCAAGCGGTCACCGGTGACCGCGACCTATTGGTCTTTAATTGTGTCTATAAAACCGGTACTCGACGAGTTAATAGTCTTTTATCAGGCGGCAACAAGGTGCGCGCCTACAACGGTTGGGTCATGCCAGTACTCATGTACTCTTTTGGCATACTCAAGTAGACTCAAACGGAACTGGACACCCTGGATAGAAAAGTTCGTTCATTGCTGACTGCACATCGGATGCATCACCCACGATAATCGATAATGAGACTGTACATTCCGCGTAAATGTGGGGGGCGAGGCTTTTTAAATGCAAAAACCCACCACAATAGTGAAGTGTGCAGTCTCCGGAAGTATTTTTTGAAAATGGACGTGGGGTTGCATAGAGTTGTTGTCGCTGTGGACAAAGGGCTTACTCCGCTCTCCTTGGCTAACGAGAACTGGAGAGAACCTTTAATACTGAGCACTAATGATCGCAGGAATGTATGGCAAAGTAAGGAATTGCACGGACGCTACTACCGGGCCTTACATGGACCAAATACGGATTTCTTAGCGTCCGTATCCTGGCTACGTTTCAGTAACTTAGTTGGAGAAACGGAAGGTTTTGTCTGCAATTATGGACGAAGTTATGTTGACGAACGACTATCGAAGATATATTATAAAGGATGGAACTGTTGACATTTGTCGGGCATGCCATCGTCCCGATGAATCCATCAGGCATATCATTTCGGGTTGTTCTCACCTAGCTAATGGAGAATACTTGCATAGACATAATCTTGTAGCCAGGATTATTCATCAACAACTTGCTTTGAAATATAAACTTGTAGAATCTGAAGTACCGTATTATAAGTATCTGCCTGACCCAGTTCTTGAAAATGGAGATGTCACACTGTATTGGGATCGAACTATCATCACAGAAAGGACAATTGTTGCAAATAAACCTGACATTGTGGTGATAGATCGACCAAGACGTCGCACAATGATAGTTGATATAACAATCCCACATGACGAGAATCTTGTGAAAGCTGAAAAAGATAAAGCAAGGAAATATCTTGATTTAGCTCATGAGATTGTCGACATATGGGATGTGGATTCAGCAGTCATTGTGCCGATAGTTGTATCTGCCAATGGCCTCATTGCTAAAAGCCTCCACCAACATCTGAGTAGGCTAGCGTTAGATGGTTGGGTCAAGGGCCTGATGTAGAAAGCAGTACTTCTGGACACGGCGCGTATTGTCCGGAAATTCCTTTCTCTGGAGCTCTGACCACCGGTAGGCTTGGATTCCTCCCGTTACTGGTGGGCTACTGCTTTTTATATTTTTAAATGTTTTTTTTTATAATCAAATATTTAAAAATGTATAAGTCAAGTATATAAATAAATAAAGGAAATAAAAAGTAAGATAAAACATTAAAAATATTGAAATGTCATCTAAAAGGTAAAAGCCGCTTTGTAACCAAGTATTTGTGTTTTATAATTTTTAATTTTTTAATACAAATTGTTTGATTAAATATCTGATCGTGTTTTTCTTTATTTCCCAGAAAAAGCTTGACATAAAAAAGTAGTATGAAGGTATCTTAAATCGAATCTAGTGTTATGTTACATTGGCTTGAACAATTTAACAAAGAAAACAAACGAATCTACCACATCCAATATTTTACTAGATATTGTTGCCGCGGAAAAGTATCGAAACGGGCACATTCGATATTAGACTAGAATATTTTGTCATAGATAACTATCGAAATTGGCATATTCGATAAAAAAGTAACCAGCAGTAATCAAGTAAAGTATCGAATGTGTAATTTTACAAAAAGTATAATAATTATCAAAAACTATAGTAGACAGTATAAAACAGTCAAATTTTCCACTTAAGATACATCGGTAATATGAAATTTTGGAATTTTATGTTTAACAAAAATCTAAATCTAAACTTAAAATCGCTCTCCTGTAAAGTAGAGGTTTTGCAGTTTCAATACTTTACGTGGGGGCCGTCGATTTAACAAATGCACTAGTCACGCCTTGTTATAATTTTGAAAAGTTCTCCTCGGTTTCCCTGGGATTCCATCATCAGATCCTGACTTCATGACAATGGGACCAAATGACAAACCTACCCTTTCAAACAAAAAAAGAATTTTTGAAATCGGTCTAGGTGTCTTCGAGTAATTGAGTAAGAAACATAAACAAAAATAAAAAAAAATACGTATACTCGCGGACCCGACAGACGTTGTCCTGCATATGTAAGAAAGGAAAGACCAATAAAATAAAAATTATTATTGTTAGTTTATGATAAATATCCTAGACACCGACTGTTGGGCTCGCTGCCATCGCAGCGGTAAGTCCCCTCTTTGAGGAGTGGCTTGAGAGACGCTACGGCGTCCTCACCTACCGCCTGACGCAGGTCCTCACCGGACATGGCAGTTTCGGGAGGTACCTGTGTCTGATGGGGCGGGAGGAAACGCCCGGGTGTCATCACTGCGAGGACCTGCCTGAGGACACGGTGGAACACACGGTGGGAGAATGCCCTTCGTGGGCTGAGCACCGCCGTGTCCTCAGGGAAGTGATCGGCGATGGCGACCTCTCGCGTCCGGGCCTAGTGCAGGCCATGATGCGGAGCGAGGGGGATTGGGATGCCGTCTCCTCCTTTTGCGAAGCAGTCATGCTAGCTAAGGAGGAGGCGGGACGCGTGAGGCAGCGAAGCGCTGCCTCCTCGCAACCCAGCCATCGCGAAGGACACACCGGGCGTCGGGGATCGCGGGACGATCTCCGGCCACCGTGAGCGCGGGCCTGCGGACGGCGAGCATGGGTGGCTCCCCGTCCGACCAGAAACAGACCCGAGCGTACGGCGCGTCGCGTTCCGCGCGCGCCTCAAAGAGCCATCAGACCACCACAGATGGGGTCCAATAGGGCCGATGCCGATTCGGAGTCGCGGAGAACCTAACGGGTAACCGGGGCTCCGGCTCGACGTGCAGGAGAAGGAACGGGGTGGTTTTTAGTCAGTAAGAGTCTGACACTCCCTTCCGCCTCACCCAGGCGGGAGCAGTCATTCGATGATTTTCCCCCCTTAAAAAAAAAAAAAAAAAAAAAAAGACACCGACTGTAGCGCCACCTGCCGGGCTGATTTGTGAATCTAAACCATCCAGGGCGCCACTCAAATGCATACAGAAAAATTCATTTAAATCGTTCAAGTCGTTTAGGAGGATTTCAATGACATACACACGCACAGCAGAATTATATATACATATAAAGATATAAAGAAAAGATTAGCTGATAAGTTTAAATGTCAAAGTTTCGTTAGTCGACTTCGTTCGAGGGAAGTACCTACTAGCGTTTAGTATTAGAATAAACTATGGTTTAGACAGCATATGTACGCCCAGATAGGTTTCAGAGGCCCTATGTGGGGAACCAAATACACAAACACAATATGTCAATAAAGTCGGTAAGACTTAACTGACTTTTTGTGATATATTGAACCCAAAATAACATAATATCTATATGCTTACACACACAACAAATACAAGAACAGTATGAAAATCCTCAAGACTAAATTATTTTGGATGGTAAGTTTATGAAGGTAACAAACGTGCCAGTTGTACAGTCCATCATGTATCGTCGCTCGCGCTGTTAGCCTTAGACAATGAGACTGTCTAGTATTATCTATTTAGTAGTTTCAACACTTCGCTTCGTGGATAATCGCTTGTTTCGCAGGAAATGTATGATTTTTTATTTTTTATGTACGCTGGCTAATATCCTTTTTTCCGGCATTCTAGCTAAGGGCCATTCTAAGAATGACTGATCTATAATAGATCAAATTATATACTTTCGAACTACGAACACTATTGGTATCAATGTGCCCTTAGTGGTGACAGAAAAATATTTACGTAGAAATAAAACTCGAAAGCTTGAACATAGTGTTTTTGTTTTTATCTGCAGTTGGGCATGGTTCGCCCAGAGCTGTTAGAGCAGGAGCCACGCAGTGACTCCTCGCCTAGTATGGAGGAGGTGTAGTTTTGGACTCTTCCATTTCCTTTTTTAATCTTTGCGCTTCAATCAACTTTTGCCGTTCAGCCTTAGGTAAGATTTGTTCCATCTTCATCATGTACTCCGTGTGCAGGTGGATCATGTACTCGACGGTGTAGGTCACATCGATGTTCAGGACTAGGATGCGCTCGTAGTAGTACAAGAAGGCCTTCGTAGACCATAACTTATTTCGATCGACAGGCCAGAACAGGGAGCGAATTTCGTCCTTCCATTCGTCCAACCTGGCGAAGATGTACCCCATGCGGAACCTGACATCACTTTCATATGCCTTGATTAAAGGGTCAACCTCTGTGAGCTGGTGCTGTACGGAGTACACTGTCTGTTTCATCATTTCTAAAATCCTTAAACAGATCAAGTAATTTTCGGGGTACTGATAATTAGGATATCGTTGAGGTAGTACTACGTATAGTTTACGTCGCGAGTTGGACAAGTTGGATGGTTTGGTTTTCGAGTCTTCTAGACTGAATAGTTCGGCGTAGTCCATGCTGATGTTGACCCTATAACCAAAGCGGGAGAATGAGAGTACTGAACTGACATTTCGGGTATAAATGTTTTGGTCCATTTGTACTTGTAGTGCGGTCATTAGTGTGGAAATTTGGGGGTTGCCCAAAATGTTTTCCGGAAGTGTTGAGAATTGGCAATTTTGTATATTTTGATATGCTCTTTCCAATTTCTATTTTACAACTTCGTACATTGGAGAAAACCATCCTATTGCTTCTCCCGCCTGGGAGAGACGAGGGAATCTCTTCTTATTGACCAAAAACCACTCTGTTCCCACTCCTGCACTTCAAGCTGGAGCCCCGGCAACCCATTAGGTCCTCTGCGGCTCTGCATCGGTACCAGCCCTATTAGGTCCCATCCGCTCGGGTCTGGTTCTGGTCGGACGGCGAGCTACCCGTGCTCGCCGTCCGCAGGTCCGTGCTTACAGTCGCGGTGGCCGAAGATCATTTCGCGATCCCCGCCACCGTGTAAAACTAGACGGCCTTATTAATTTACTACCTTTGATGGCCAAGATTGAGCGACAGCAGATCGGGCTTGATCTCGACATCATTTGTTGGGAGCATGGTGTCGCTTTGGCTTCGCTCAGCTGCCATCTTTATCTCGAGGTCGCTCAAGTCGAGCGACGCGTGTAGCCCTGCCATACACTGCCCCAGTTTCGTCTTCAACTGCCTGTCCTCGCCCACGAAGTCCATGTCTCTCAGTGAGATGAGAGGTTTGCGGTGTTCCACACCTAAACAAGCAGTTCTTTAAAAATTGCCTGTCGCTTACATATTCCACATTGAAAACTAGAAGATAAATTAAACTAACTGACCATATTTTTAAACAATAAATTAGATGAGTTTTAATCAGATAAAAACGACTACCTATTGAAAAGTTATGGTTTTCTTATGTGTATTGGCACATTGCATAACGCACTGTACGCGCTGCAGCTGACGTCCATAGTGCTTCATAATACAACTCTCTGAAGCATTTTACAAATTATCGACTGAGAGGAAATTGGTTGTAAAAATCTGTCGCTAGCTTACGGTCTAGAAGAGGTGTGTTCGCTCACCATTAACTACTGCTGCCAGCACTGTAACACAAAATATATTTTTTTTTAATTTATATAGTTCTCCACAGAGTGTAAAGTGGGTGTTACATTGTACCCCTTCGAGGATAAAAGGCGTGATGTTATGTTATGTGTAGTTCTCCACAGACTCTTGGTCCGTGTCCTTGTCATACAATTTTAGTTACCTTAACTCGTCGAGTACCGGTTTTATAGACACAATTAAAGAACAATAGGTCGCGGTCACCGGTGACCGCTTGGTGTTTGACAGATTAAAAGTCAAAGTCAAAATCATTTATTTCAATTAGACCAGACACTTTTAAACATAAACCAAAAATTAAAAGTGAAGCTATTTAGTGCTCAATTAGTTAAGCTCAATAGTTATTATTACTAACACTAGTTTGTAAGCTCGCAATTGTACTGACACATATGGATGTAAATCTGAAATAAATGATTATTATTATTATTTCTTGTCATATTTTATGTTTAGAACCCCACTAAGATTGACTTGGCCGCCAAGTGCGTAAATAAAATTGTGATAAAGCTATGAATTTAAGAACTTTCGGGTTAGGTTGCACGTATTTAAAATTACTACTTTTTGTAGAAGACGATAAGTTGCTGGGCTAATATTTAAAGACTGTAAGCTTTTGTGGAGAGTTTTTGGGATGACCCCTGTGGTAGACAAAATGATAGGTACTTTTTTTTTTTAGCGGGGAAGATCATCGAATGACTGCTCCCGCCTGGGTGAGGCGGGAGGGAGTGTCAGACTCTTACTGACTACAAACCACCCCGTTCCTTCTCCTGCACGTCGAGCCGGAGCCTCGGTTACCCGTTAGGTTCTCGACTCCGAATCGGCATCGGCCCTATTGGGCCCCATCTGTGGTGGTCTGATGGCTCTTTGAGGCGCACGCGGAACGCGACGCGCCGTACGCTCGGGTCTGTTTCTGGTCGGACGGGGAGCCACCCATGCTCGCCGTCCGCAGGCCCGCGATTACGGTGGCCGGAGATCGTCCCGCGATCCCCGACGCCCGGTGTGTCCTTCGCGATGGCTGGGTTGCGAGGAGGCAGCGCTTCGCTGCCTCACGCGTCCCGCCTCCGCCTTAGCTAGCATGACTGCTTCGCAAAAGGAGGAGACGGCATCCCAGTCCCCCTCGCTCCGCATCATGACCTGCACTAGGCCCGGACGCGAGAGGTCGCCATCGCCGATCACTTCCCTGAGGGCACAGCGGTGCTCAGCCCACGCAGGGCATTCCGCTACAGTGTGTTCCACCGTGTCCTCCCGGGCGTTTTCTCCCGCCCCATCAGACACAGGTACCTCCCGAAACTTCCATGTCCGGTGAGGACCTGCGTAAGCCACTCCTCAAAGAGGGGACTTACCGCTGCAATGGCAGCGAGCCCAGCCCTCGGTTGCGACAGTCGTTGCTGCCATTCCGCCATGAGATCGCGCCGGAGGTCATCCCGCCACGCACTTATCTGGGGCGGCAGCGGAGTTTCGCCCCGGCGACGTGCCTCCGCGCGCATGCGATACACGCGCGCGAGCACCTTCGCCTCCAGATCCCACGGCGGTAATCCGGCAAGGAGGTTCGCCGACTCCCCAGAGATCGTGCGGTATCCGCGGATCATTCGGATCGCCATGACCCTCTGTGCCATAAGCAGCGCCCGAGCCGGCCGCCGCAGCTGGTTCGGCGCCCACACAGGGGCGCCGTAGAGGGCCATGGACCGCACGACCCCGGCGTACCTCCGGCAGGAGGCGTTTGGCCCCCCGAGGTTGGGAGGTGATGCGTTTGAACGCAGCCCCCGTCCTCTCCAACTTTGGAGCCAAACGTCGGAAATGCTCTATGAAGTTCCACCGACTGTCGAGGACGAGTCCTAGGTACTTCATCGTCGTCTCGACGCCGATGGTAACCCCTCCCGCCGTTATTTGGGACCCACCCGGAGGTGGCGGGTTCCCGCGGCACGCAACACATGGCCTCGGACTTGTGGAGCGCCACCTCGAGTCCCGACAGCCGGATTCTCTCAACGACTATCGCAATCGCTGTCGCCATTAAGTCGGCCGCCGCCTGGTGCGACCTCCCGTGCGCTAGCATCAGCGTGTCGTCGGCGTAGCGTAAATAAATTTAAAGACAGTAAATGTCTGTCAGTCTGGAACTGACCAGTTCCAGTTGACGACACCCTTTCACAAACATGACTCGTACACCAGCACCGCCCAACTCAACCATATTGTAGGGAATCGAGTGATCCACTGCACGTGCCACCGCCGATGAGACCTTTGAGTAAGCATGACAACTCCACGCTGACACAAATGTATTCTACTAGTCTAATTTAATGTTAAGTTAATTAAGGGCTCTTACATTTACAATGATTATGTTAGTTAAACAATATACATTTTAGCTACATGGCTGTATTTTGTGCTGTGTGTGAGCAACATGCTGTATGCAAGCATTTTTTACCGACTTCAAAAAACGGAGGAGGTACTATGTTCAGCTGATTGTATTTTTTGTTTGTTTGTTGGCGCATTACTCCGCCATTTGTGAACCGATTTGCAAGAAATTAGGTAATAAAAATTTGTGCATGGCATACCATCCATATTGTGGTCTGATATGGTGTATCTGTCCCAGGCAGGCGTACACGCCGCGCAATTTGAAGTTAGGTATTGTGACAAAAATATGAATAATTTGAATAAAAAAAGTTAAAAAAACCAAAGGAAAATGTTCGACTCCTCAAGTTTCAACGCTCATAACTCAGTCCAGACTGAGATTTCCACATATGAGCCCATAGACAATTTCGTTTGTAATGTCATTTTAGGTAATATTTTCCATAAATCATCGATTGCCGCCAGAAAGAAGAAACGCGCCAATTTTAGTCAATGCCCGTTGACTGCTGGCCACTGAACTTCACTGAACTTGACTGAACACACACACTGAACTTGATAACTTGGATAAAGTAAAAGAGCATAATTACTGAGTGCTGCTGTCAGGATGAGTCCAAGCATCATGCTGGTCGCGTGTTTGGTCACGCCCGGCCCCTGTAACAATAAGTCAGAATTCAGGTAAAGGCTTGTATAAATACAATTAAATAGAACTAATAAATACAAAGAAATTAAACAAAAATCTTTTATTTATTACGCAGTGATACAGAAAAAATAATTTATATTAAGTAGGTTTGCCAAAGATGTAATTGTTCATAACGGAATTATTATTGTACATCTGTGATAGCAACTGATGCGTTTCGAATCTTCTCGATCCAATATTTTTAAGATTACCCTACCTTTATTATGTATTGTACAGCAATGTGGAATACGACCACGGGTATCCTTTAACAAAATTTTCTTGTTTCGTACTTTTTAGAACATGTTGTTTTCATAGTCGTTATGTTTAAACTCAGCCGACATTTTACATGGGCATGTTAAGACGGAACCCGTTTTACAAAATCTGTTATCTTAATCGTATTGACAAATTAACTAAAGCAAATCTTTTTGCTGTAAACAGTAAAAATTTCCAATTCTATTTAATAGCGAATTACACGTAAGTTTTATTATTTCTCGTTTTGTATTTTACGAGATTTTTTCAGCCCAGATGTATTCGTCTCCCATATTAGGTATACTCATGGATATATGGATGAATGACTCAAAAAAATAAAGTTAATCTGAAACTGAAATTTAGTTTTATTTTATGGTTGATATTTATTTGCATAGACTTAAGATGCTCCACTTTCCGCATTTGGTTGATTTTTTACTGACTTCAAAAAAAAAGGAGGAGGTACTATGTTCGGCTGATTTTTTTTTGTTCGCGCATTACTCTGCCATTCGTGAACCGATTTCCAAAATTATCATTTTGTTTCAAAGGGTATACTCCCGAGATAGTCCCATTTCCATGAGGTCAAGATCTGATGATGAGATCCTAGGAAAACTATGGGGAACTTTTGAATATTGTAGGGGCGAGTAATGCGTCTATTATGTTTAGGACTTTTAAACACTACAATTTGATAAGGGTAAACTGTGTAACTGGACAATATTGTATTGTGAAATTGATTGGAAAAGAGTAACCTATGGAGTTTCTTGCTCGTTCTTCTCCATAGGAATCTACGCCTTGGAATGAGCAAATAGCTTCACTTTTAAATTTCCTTTGCTGACGTTCAAAAGTGCCTTCCTGGTCTAATTGAAATAAATGATTTTGACTTTTTTTGGGTCTGGAGTCGACCTGATGATGGAGCCGACAGACAGTCGAGAGAACTCCTCAGCGGTTTATATTAACTATCCTGTGTTTGGGCTTGATTAATTTGTGTTGATGAGGACTTTACACCTAGATAAAGTGGGGACTGTCATTAAGGGTCTGATGATGAAGGAGTGTAATTGTTAAGGGAACTCCTCAACGGTATACAGTAACTACCTTGTGTTTGGGCTTGATTAATTTGTATTAATGAGGACTTTACACCTAAATAGAGTGGTACTGTCATTAAGGGTCTGATGATGAAGAAGTATTTTTGTTAAGGGAACTCTTCAACGGTTTTTTTATGGCATAAGCCAGCAAACGAGCAGACGGATCACCTGATGGTAAGCAATCGGCGTCGCCCATGGACACCTGGAACACCAGAGGTGTTACAAGTGCGTTACCGGTCTTTTGGGGATTAGGCGTTTGAGGATCATTGAGGATTCAGAAATTGAGGAGATTGGGGAAGGGGAGGATAATTGGGCTTCCGGTAACCTCACTCACACGACGAAACACAACGCAAGCGTTGCTTCACGTCGGTTTTCTATGAGGCCGTGGTATCACTCCGGTCGAGCCGACCCATTCGTGCCGAAGCATGGCTCTCCCTCACTTATTTATATTTAGGTTTATAGTAAATACCTTGTGTTTGGGCTTGTATAATTTGTATTGATTACAACTTTGCACTTAGGTAGATTTTAAGTGACAAAATGGATCTATGTGGCTTAACACTGAAAAATATAAAATAATAAAATAAAAACTGCGTTTAAAAACCGACTTCAAAAAACCAAAAGCTAATAATAAACAAAAAGTCAAAACTAAAAAGCTAAATAAAAATAACTATTATTAGTACTGATAGGTTACCCACCCACTGATAGTTAGAAATCGGTGCCATACGCTTAAATCATAATGATATAACTTAATGGCCACAAAATTGTAAATGAGTATCTATTAAGGTTTCAATGAATAATTTTGTATACAGAGATTTGGCGTCGACTTCTAAACTATGAGTTTTATGCTATTTTTTGCTTTTTAGTTTTGACTTTTTGTTTATTAATAGTTTTTTTAACTTTACATGATTAATGTTATACGGAGGATGTCTTTTTATTACGAAGTTTTATATCAACAGTATTTATTTGTTTAAAATGCTCCTATTTGCAATACTTCTTTTCGGGCTATATTGAGAACTTAGGAACATAGACCCTGAGTTGAAGTACTTCACTGAAGAAAATTGTCTTAGTAAAATGGTATTGAAAACATAATTGTATTAATAAAAAGCGTCGCAGAATCGCACGACTCTCAGGTGGCAGCGGATACATTAAATGCCTAGATGAACGTTCATAGCAATATCACTGTCTGAAGTTTACTAGCGAGTAGATATTATAAATAAACAAATATTAATATTAAGAATTCTTTATTTGCAAAAACAGATTACGGAACTTATGAAATGAGATTGGAACCTCCTTTTAAGCAGGGTATATCTGTGTTAGGAGACTCCGCTCTTTCTCAACAAGACGTACATAATAAACTTCCATAAATACAAGTATTGATACAAGTGTAAGGTATTTGTTCAGTACCTAACAATATTTATATATTTATTCAACAAACTACCTGATGTGTCATTAAGCCCTACCGCACAATGTTTTAGATTTCAAATAAGCGATTTAATTTCGTCTTCGTCTGTAGGTGTAATAGTGCCAGTGATTGGGGGAATGAATTTGTATCACTGAGGTCATCCTGGAAAATAGGCTTGTTTAGTTTACACTTTTCTAGTTTACTTGTTGTTACAAAAAATGAATTTACTTTGTTGACAGATTTAAGAGGACCTTCATTTTTTTAGTATAGGTACGTTATGTCTTTGATAACTTCCCACAGTATTTTTATTATTTTTACCTGCATTATTTATTCTATCTTTTTCATTATGTTTTTTACTTCCTTGAGAATATTATTGCAGAAGTTTCTGTATCTTTTAATGTTATTTGCATATTGTCATCGTTAAGGTTTCTCTTCGCCTTTTTATAGAGGTTTTCGCGGATCCTCATGCACCTTAGAAGAAACAAGAAACCGCCTCAGGAGTTCAACGGCTTCAGAATATGTTCACGCCTAGCGGTAACTAGACTCGTACTTGAACAAGTGCGTGCTTGGAAGCGGACATTACTCCGTGGCTTGGTTGACATCCAACATCTCGTACATGGTGTGAAGTCGACGCTTTTAATAGCGCTATCAAGACCGTCTATATTTATTCGCTTGTGTTGGTGTTTCGGCTGTTTATTATTTGTTCTTGTTTTTATAAAAAACAAACTATTACAGCCTCATGATCTGTTATAGATGAATTTGAAAGTTCGGCCATGTGTTGGGATGTTGTGCCCTGATAGCATACCAAGAGAACTAATGAGGTTGAGGTAAACAAGTGATATGTGGTCTCGATTGTCTGCACCAATATTAACATTTATATTCCGTCCAATATCCATACTCCCATTCCTGTCCAAGGTGCTCGAGGCCTGTGTTCATAAACAACTCTCTAATTACATATATCGGAATTCACTGATTAGTCCTCTACAATCTGGTTTCAGACCTGGCCACAGTACTACTTCCGCCCTCCTTAAAGTGACTGGCGATATTAGAACCGGCTTTGAGGATACCGAAGCCACAGTCCTGGTTTTGGTTGACCTTTCGAATGCCTTCAATATGGTCAATCACGACATCGTGTTGGCTATCCTATCCCACCTTATGATCTCGGGCGAGTCACTGGAATGGTTCTCTTCTTATCTTCGGGAGCGTCAGCAGGTGCACCGACTTCTTACCTATCAGTGGGTGGGTAACCTATCAGTACTAATAATAGTTATTTTTTGCTTTTTAGTTTAGACTTTTTGTTTGTTATTAGTTTTTGGATTTTTGAAGTCGGTTTTTTAAACGCAGTTTTTATATTATTATATGATAATAATAGATGATCTAAATAGAAAGCGGTGGTAATTTCTTAACCCTTCAGCCACTCACATTCTCGTTGCCCCTCTGTTGCTATATCTAGCAACCATTCCCGGGGCCCGGTCGGTGAGTTGGCGAGTCTCCGCCTGCCATTTTTACGTGTAAAAATTACATTGTTTCGGCAGGTGTCATAGTCATCCATAGTTCCCAATTTACCAGTCCATAGCAACCCATCCATAGCCCTACCTTTTTTTTCCATTATTCACAATAGTCCTACACTAACCGGGGTGCATTTCCATAGTGCATACAGGGATAGTCGCCGGTTTGTGTCTCCATTACATTTATATTAAAGTTGTCTAAAGGGCCTCTGCGCAGTTGGCTTCGGCCCCTCGTACGCCTCCCAAATGACCGGGACCCTGTGGTCCCGTGAATGGTAAAGACATACATAATAATAATAAAATTTATTTCAGAATAAATTGCTTCCATAATTTGTTAGTAATAATAATGTTCTTAGCCTATGTTAGTAATAGCATACTTAAATATGTATATGTATGTATATGTCTTATTGGATTTTATTTTAACTTTTTACTCCATTTTACACACAAAATAATAATACCTATAAACTTTTTAAAACAAAGTTAATTTTATTTGATTTTTTACTTTTTAATATTTTATCTGGATTTTATATGATTATTTACCACAAACGCTCGTCAATGATCGAATCAAAGGAGCCCAAACTTGATGGAGTCGCGTCATTTGATTACGGAGCTTCAATGGCCAACTTCCAGCTCCATAATCAGCGCACTATCTAATAGTAATAGTATCGAAACGAGTCCGAGATCGACGGGGCTGCGTCCAGCTCGGACTCGTTCATTAACGAGTACGTAAGGCCAGCACATAAGATAAGTCACACACACGTTGTAGAGACGGACGCTAACAAAATTTCATTACACAACTCTTTAAAGCATTTAACGGGTTCTGGACTGAGAGACGCGGAATGCTGCGGGAATCGAACCCGACAACCCTTGCTCAGCAGCCGCATATGGGGACCACTCGACAATCAATTCGATTTCAAAACTGTATTTTTGTTTATGTTTGTTACTCAATTACTCGAAGACACCTAGACCGATTTCAAAAATTATTTTTTTGTTTGAAAGGGTAGGTTTGTCATTTGGTCCCATTGTCATGAAGTCAGGATCTGATGATGGAATCCCAGGGAAACCGAGGAGAACTTTTCAAAAGTATAAGGGCAACTAGTACATTTGTTAATTATCTCTAGTAATAAGGAATTCATTAAATTTTTGAAAAAGTTTGTTTTATTTGACAATAAGTTTGATAACTCACTGAGCGCTGCGTTCCGAGTGGTGGCCCACGTAGCCGCGGGTTACCGAGCGGCTCTGCGTCTCTCTGCGGTGATAAGCGTCCCACGTCGCACCTCATTAACACTTAATTGGATATTTACTCTGTCTATCATATAACTGTATTTTACTGTACTACGCCATGCGCCCATGGTCTACACTGCTTGCTGTAATCAGAATTATAGGAAGTTTAAGTGTGCAAGAGCCATGCTTCAGCACAATCCTCAAATTCCCAATTCCCAAAAGGCCGGTGTTTCAGGTGTCCATCGGCAACGCCGATTGCTTACTATCAGGTAGTCCGTCTGCTCGTTTACCGGCTTGTGCTATAGATAAAAAAATGTACTTATTTTTCTATACTATTCATTCCAAAAAGTAGATTCGAATGGAGAAGAACCAGCAAGAAACTACATTCTTTACTCTTTTTAAAAAAGTATGTTCTGCTATGTCTCTGATACATATTCCAATACTGTACGCATATGTGACGCATTATACGAATTAAAAAAAGTACTAAAATAAAAAGACAAAACAAAAAATTATCTTATAGTCTAACATGGTGCTCACATATGCATACTGACAATCTATAAAAATAGTGCTTCTATACAAGAAAAGGAAACTCTTTGTTTCAATAAAGAAAGAAATGCTCGATGCCATAAGGAAACAAGATTGTCTACATTAGAATTAAAGTATTGAATTAGCTACTATTGGAATCTAACTACTGACTACATTCCAGTGGAGCCAAAACAACATGCCAAGATTCTTATCTTGTCGTGGAGAACCTAACGGGTAACCGGGGCTCCGGCTCGACGTGCAGGAGAAGGTACGGGGTGGTTTTTAGTCAGTAAGAGTCTGACACTCCCTCCTGCCTCACCCGGGCGGGAGAAGTCATTGGAAGGTTTTCCCCCCCTCAAAAAAAAGGCACCTAACCATGTGAGAGCTATTATTTTTCTTACCCAAGGAATATTTTTGTATCTGTGTCCATTTACATTTCTGAATAAAGATTTATTTACTATTGACCATGGTCGGGTGAAGCTACAATTTTGTTTAATATTATAAATAAAGGCTTAAGGTGGCGGGTAGGTTAGATCTTTCCTATTATTATGATTTGTTAGTTGTAAAAACTATTTAGTGTTTAGTGTCTATTGTATACAATCATCGGGGTGTCATTTTCTTTACAGAAAAAACCCTGTAAATAAAATAAAGATTAAAAAAAAGTTGATGTACTATACCGTCTATACCTATAGGTAGGTATGATTATATGACCGACTATATGGATATGACTATATATACTATATAGGCATAACATAACATAACATCACGCCTTTTATCCTCAAAGGGGTAGGCAGACTATATAGGCACAATGTAAATATGCAATGGCAAACAGGTACTTAGTCCGCTGCACTATTTCCACATTAATGGACAATCATGTCTACCGGCCTTAGCAGTCAGGATACTGTAGCGACTTCCACGCAGGCAACTGATGGGCGATGCTTTCTTTTTGCGCTATAAAGCAGCGAATCCATCAGATTTGGATTTAGATGGAAGCCGCACCAGGGTCCTGAACGCATTATTATACTGGATCCGCAGAGCATTGTACGCTCTCAGGGTGTAGTTAACCCACAGGCTTCCCGCGTACAGTGAGGTGCAATACCTTTGGACAATGTCATCAACATCTTTTATATGATCAGTAACCCAATGTCTGATATTGAAATACTCTACTTAAGGATACACCGTTTGTTTTTTGTTGAACCGTGGATTCTCGTGATCCAATTTAAAATCAGAAAGAAAGAAAGAAAAAAATAATCATTTATTTTGCTACGACACACAACAAGAATTTAGAAACACAAAAAAAGCCTATGGTGCGTCGCAGCGCAAACGACTGGAGCTCAGCTTATATTAATACCGTGGACCGGGCACAGAGACATGTAAACAGTGTTTTTCACATTATAAGCAAATTCAAAGCCCGCATCGACCCATGAGGAAGGCAAGCATAACTTATACATAACTTTAATAATTGGGCAAGCACCCGAAACTAGTGCGGCCAGCATATGTCAGATGTTCAACACTGAGCCCGTCATGGCAATCGAATTTTGCGCCTGTCATTTTAGTAATAGCAATTTTAGTATCCTTTGTAAATACGACCGTGGTCATGTCGGTTTGACAGGCGTCATTATATAAATACTTGATATGGCTTTATGGAGTGGAGTACAACTTTAGGGACTTGTATATCAATATGAATTTATAGAGTACAAATCCTTAAACACGTTTGCCTCTCCTTTGGAGCGGAGAAACCATCGACGCTTACTAGAATAGCTAAGCTAATACACTAACTAGTTTTTGTATTTGCACTACCTATTAGTATATGTCCAGAACTTTTTGAAGTCTGAATCTGAACATTAGCCTTGGCTATATTCTAAGGGAGACAGGCGTGAAGTTATGTATGTCATTGTTAAATGGACGAAAAGATAACCTAAAACATTTATTGAATTCCTCTTTTGTCATACCCCTTACTTACTTATGTTATTGAATAACATATTTAGGAATATGTGCTTTCATACATCCAAACTTTTATGTTTTGCTGACGACATGAAACTGTCAGATACTATCTCAACACCTGACGATGGTCTAGCACTCCAGTCGGATTTGCAACAGCTTGAAGAGTATCTCGGATTAATAAACTGGATCTTAACCCATCTAATCACTAATTATACTCTAGCGGGTCAGCCCTTACCAAGGTACACTACTATCCGTGACTTAGGCGTCCATCAAGACAGTAAATTGGTTTTCGATACACATCGATGCAATCGTCAAAAAAGCCTCTAAATTGACTGGACTTATAAAGCGTCTTTAAAAAAAATTCACTGATGCAAAGACCCTTCAAAATATTGCACTTATATCAGGAACCAGCTGGAGTATGCGTCTCAGGTATAGAATCCAAGATATCAGAAATATATTGACAGCGTGGAAAACATTCAAAAACATTTTTTAAAATACCTCTGTTTGCACCAAAATATACCATACCAGTCTGCCCGTTATCTTGAACTCTGTAGAAAATTCCTGTGTTGTTACCATTGGCAGACGCAATATTGCAGATTGTCTATTCTTGTTGAAGGTTCTTAACGGCAATATGGATAGTCCAGAACTATTATCAAAAATGTAATTTAATGTACATACCTAATAAAATATTTAGATTTAATTTACCTTAACACGTATCCCGTTCCTCATCCACAGTAGAAATAACGTTTATTTCTATGTATGCTTAGATCTTTAAAACTAAGCAACGAATTTTGATGCGGTTTTTTTAATAGATAGAGTGATTCGGAAGGATTATATGTAGAGGTATAATAAATAATATTGAACCTGTGCAAATCCGGGGCGGGTCGCTAGTAAGGTACCTATATAATATTGGTAGTAGTAATTTATTTCAAACGATTAATAAAAATTGTAAGTATTTATTTATTATCTACATAGGTATACATAGTTACATTTTCGTAGGTATTTATTATTTCGCTATAATTTACAGTGCAATCTGTGCAATGCACACGCATGAACGCCGCTTGCTTGGTAATTACACAGCGCGAGGCGGGAACTACAGACACCAGACACGACAGCCACTACAGAGTAAGGCACGCAGCCCAGCTAGTGGTGGGCTGCAGAGTCTAGTAACTCTGCTCGTCACTTTGTCTCGGCCACACATCCCTGGGTGGAGTCGCTGTGCTCGCCGACTATACTCTCTACACTGCTGATGATAAAAGGTTTGAATTCTTTTTCATCGTCCGTTTCAATAGAGTTGCTGAGATCGAGAGCATCTTCTTGTCCTCGGGGATCTTCTTCATCTAACAGCCGATGCAGGAAGGCGAGACATTCGCGCCGAAACAATCGTTGCTTTTTGGCTGACAACGCCTGGTAATCGTTATGTATACCCCGGAAAAAGTGAAAGTAAGCAGAATTCTCATCAGGCTCGAATGATGAGTGAGGACTTGAAGAGTCCTCACGGAAGGGCTGCGGCTCCACCGGGAGCTGAAGTGGACTGGCATGAGACGGGCTGGTTAGCGCCAACCATGGAGTGGTCATGAAGTCAGTGGACGACGAGTCACTATGCGTAGCCGCAACCGGTTTAGGCACGTACAGAGTCCTGTACGAATGGCGCGACTGTCTCCTGCAGAAAAATAACACGATGGTAAGCATTTGAAGACAAAATCATAACTACATGATTTGATTCATAGTAGACTGATGATGTAATTCACTTTGTTTAGTTAATAATTCCTTCGACATTCTGTTGAGTAAAAACAATTCGCCAGTGACAGTCCTGCCATAACAGTTCCTAACTGCTATAACCGGTGCGTCCCGTATATGCGGACCGGCATACATAGCGGCATAGCAGACCATACATTTATGAGGTGTCAAAGTGGCGTTACAAAATCTGACGGAGAGGCCGCGGACGTTACTGGCGTGTAGTAGGAATGAGAAGCTACTGACGTGTCTGTGGCCATGTGCTGGCGCAGGAAGTCCAGCTCGTCGGCGAGGTACCACTTGGAGACCATGCGGCCGCGGCCCGTGCGCACGCCGTGCATCTCGTTGCGCAGGTGGCGCGAGTACGAGTTGCGGATGTGAGACCACTTGCGCCGCACGTCGGTCACTGCACACACACACATACACACATTGTTACTTTATTATGACATAACTTTGCGCAACGAATGTTGTGATGTCCCTAAAATGTTGTGCAGTAGGTACCTACCTAGTAGTTGGATTACTGTAGACTGAAACCTAATAAATTAAGCCAAGCCTTCATAAATATTCTGATACCACAAACATTACTTGGACTCCTCCGTCGGCTCCGTTCCCATGTATTTAAATGCATATTATACAGTCCTCATAGAAAGTTGATATAATTTCAATATTTTATGTTAAAACTAGCTCCTGCCCGTGGCTTCGCCAGCGATTCCAGGGGTAAAATGCCTATGTATTACCTGAGTGACACCATAATCTACCTCTGTTCCAAATTTCATTCCGGTCCATTCAGTCGGTTCAATATGACAAAGTAACAAACATACACACACTGTTACACAAAAACAATCCTTACAG